AATCTACGTAAAATTTGCTGCACATTGCCCTGAAATGTCTGCCAACACATTCAAATTCTTATTTCTCAATTTTCTGACTCCGAATTCTGCTCTACTGGTCTATAATGAAGTCTCTCCCAAAATCCCAGGTTGACAGCATCATTGCTAAGCTTAATCAAGGTAAATCGGTACGTGAAGTGTCGGAAGAAGTTGGAGTGGGTAAGAGTAGTGTTCATCGGGTGAAAAGACAGTTTTGTCCGCTCATGAAGGCTTGTCCTGGAGGAAGACCTGCCAAGTTATCTGATGCAGATAAGCGTTACTGCGTGCGTCAAGTCACAAAAAATCGCGTTAGGAATGCAGTACAAGTTGCAAAACGCCTCGAAACGGATCATGGTATCAAGGTGAACCCGAATACAGTCCGTCGGGCCTTGAAAGCGGCCGGTTTGGGATCCTTGGAGGCCCCTAAGAAGCCATTACTTAGTGACAAGAATCGGAAGAAGAGACTTGCATGGTGCATTGCACATAAGGATTGGACCACCGACGATTGGAAACGCGTTATTTGGACTGACGAAACTAAAATAAATCGTTTTAACTCCGATGGTCGTGTCTGGGTATGGGTTCGCGACGGTGAGACGCTTAAAAGTCACCATGTTAAGCAGACAGTCAAAGGTGGTGGTGGCAGCATCATGTTGTGGAGTGCTATTACGTATGGCGGAGTGGGTTGGATGTGCAAAATTGATGGCAATATGGATAAAACATTGTACAGAGACATACTCCGCGACGAATTGGAAGACAGCATTCGAGATATGAGCGAAAAATTAGGGTACCGTCGTGATCAAATCATTTTCCAGCAAGACAATGATCCTAAACATACGTCAAATTTGGTCAAGGAATACCTGCAAGGGCAAGATTATGTGACTATGGATTGGCCTGCACAGTCACCAGACCTTAATCCAATCGAAAATATGTGGGCTTTACTCAAAAGACGTCTTAACGAGTATGAAACAGCCTGTAAAGGTGTCAATGAGTTGTTCGAGCGTTCGCGTGAGGTTTGGTATGACATCATCAAAGTAGAAGAGTGCCAAAAATTCATAGAGTCTATGCCTCGACGTATACAAGCTTGTATTAGGAATAAAGGTCTCTGGACAAAGTATTAAACACCTTTATAATAAAGAATCACATCACTTAAAAAATGTTACAAAACTGTCCCAATGTATAGTCTGTTTTCAAATATCAGTTATAAGCATAATATGATTCAATCACCGCTAATGACAATAGTCAAATGTTCACCATGACCAGGGCTTTCATTTAAGCTAAGATACGTCGCATTTAGTTAAGTTGTACGATACGTCAGAACCACTCAAACACAAAAGTACGAAACATTGGGACAGTTTTGTAAGTGACGGTATATCGTTTTCGCTTTTTACATTCACTTTTGAATCGAGTGTCCTGAGAGATGTAGACATCATACAATGCGAGTTTGGTGATAGGGTGGGTTTCGGTACGCCACTGGTAACGAGCATGTTCTCGTAGTGAGGCTAGATGTTGTAAGTATGGTGTCCAAAACCAGGATGGTCTATCGATAGTATGTGTTCGGCGGCCCACAGAGTCATCAAGACAAGAGTGGATAGTTTGAGTGAGTTCGACAGCCATGGAGTTAATCTTGTAGGTTGGATTATCAATATCGTTACAGTCCATCAGGCGTTGGAGGCTATCCTGTAGAGGTGCTATACGATCATGGAAGAGGGTGGGATAGGTACAGTTAGATTTCAATAAATTTCCCAGTTTCCATAATTGCCGAGGATGTTGTTGCTTAGGGGGAGGAGGGAGTGGATTGGTGAATGTTAGTGTAATTGGATGATGGTCGGAGCCAATACTGATATCAGAACGCACCGTGAGGGAGGACTGTAGGAGATTGTCCGTGTGGTATTTGACGACTTGTGGAGTTAAATATCACTTAGTTAAAACAATAAAAAGTTAACGAGATCAAACTAGTACGTTTTATTTTCCATCAAGTTAAGTTCAAAGAGAAGAAAAATATCTACTGCAAAAAATTTAAATATCTTCTTCATATTGCGGAACCTAGAAACTGGCAGCTGAGTTATTCTACTGAAAGAAGACGTACGTCTTCTGAACCGTAAAAGAATAGAATTCTCCCTTGAGGATATTACGCATCTACCCGGAGCGGGTGGACTTGCAAAAGTATCCATGGCTTGATCTAGTGATCATGCAACTAGCCTATTTTCCCGTGCTAACCATTATGTAGCACTGCTTGCAGGAAAATAGAATTAATTAGGAAAATAGTATTCGTGCGTGGTGTTCGAGTTGAGTGAACAGTTATTGTAAAGGATGATCACAACCTATTATCTTGTAATCATTCTTTATGCCGAAGGCAGAGAATAGTACTTATAACCTATTATACCTTGGTGTTGAATCAATATATCCTGCATGTCCATATATTAATTCTACTATATATCCTATGTCATATAGTAACGTATTATAGCAAAATAAGTAAACTATATATCCTAAATGACAACCTGTTCAGCCTTATACGAGGTAGCTAATCTCGTATAAGAATCATCACTTATTCTATATTCGTTTCCTACTCTACTTTATATTATTTCAGCAGTACTGTAATGAGGTGTGAGGATCTTGTATAATTTGTATACGAGGTCTCCACATCTCATATGATGCTGTCAACTAAACACAACACTTAATTCACGGTACTCATATATTAGAGTTTATGTAGTTTCTAATTATTTCTGGTTTGCAATATTGTATAATTCATCTTTATCCTTCATAAAGTGAATTATATCTTTAATATTTGTATATCATCTACCCTCAAATACGACAGTCCGTAGAGATCATCAGGTCTATTATACTTTTAAATATACCACCATCGGAGGTGGTTCGTCGGCAGCAATAATAAGTGGGCTGACCATAGGTTTGTTCTGCGTTCCAGCAGCGTAAACCCGTTTCTGTAATCCATTGGACTAATGCATAGCCACGTTGTGTCGATTTAGAATCACCAAGTAGTTGAGCGTGTCTTGCATTGAAGTCTCCACAAAAGATTGTGTTGGTTTGGTTGGGATTGGGATTGATGGGTAGGGAGCGGATGAGATCAATAGTTTCATTGTCAGGCATAGATGGCGGTAGGTATACAGTGACTCACAAAAGTGTTACAATGTTTTACAAAATCAAACAAATTTCCAATTCAAATCACTATTGCACCTGATATGATTAATAAACCCCCCTCCAAACTAATATCATTAGAAAGTATATATTGTTGGGTTTCTAATGATATAACTTTCAAACATATTAGCGTTCTTTGGAATTACTTAAACTATAGAGCTTAATTTGCATATGCGTAAAATTTTCATTTTTGTGATAGTCAGATTTATTTAAACGTGCAGTTAGTACTTTGTTTGACCACCTTTGGCTTTTATAACAGCTTCAATTCTTTTTGGCATGCTTTCGATATGTTTTAGGCATAAATCGGCTGTAACTTTATTGTACCATACGTCTCCTACTCTTTGCCAGAGTTCGTCCATATTCTTGGGTAGGGTGTCATAAGCAGCTAGCTTGCACTTCAGGTAAAACCATAAGTTTTCGATTGGGTTCAAGTCTGGTGAATAAGAAGGCCAATCTAGAACATTTATCTTGTGCTTTTTAAAGAATTTTTTGGTATATTGGGACGTATGTTTAGGATCATTATCCTGTTGAAGGACAACGTCCTTCAATTTCAGGCCATAATCCTTTAGTGTATCCATGAAGTCGCCTTTCAGAATCTCGCAATATAATTGCGAGTCCATTCCCCCCTGTATCTTGGCAATGAAGCCAGGACCATGTTGAGTGAAGCAGCTCCACAATATGAGGCTGCCACCTCCGCCTTTATACTTGTAGTTGACGTTGTGCTCCTTGAGGGGTTCTCCCTTCTTTACCCAAGTCCACTGTTTCCCATCCGATCCAAGACGATTGATTTTGGTCTCGTCGCTAAAAACGACTTTCTTCCAATCATCAACCGTCCAGTGTTTGTGGGCTTTCGCCCATTTCAACCGATCCTTTCTTCGATCATTCGTTAATGGCAATGCTGATTTTCTAATCCTTGAATCGAAATCGGATCTTTTCAGGACCCTACGTATGGTCTGTGGAGAAATATCTACTCCTTGACCCCGCAGGTTCCTGGCAGCATCAACTGCTGTTATGAACTGCCCTAAGTAGAACGATCTTGCGATCATTCTCTCGAGACGATCCGAGATTAACCTAGGACGGCCGGTCTTTTCGTTGCATGCAATGTCATTAGCTTTAGCGATTCTACCAACAGTGACGTTGGATACCTTTAAACTTTTGGCGATACTTCTATGAGACTCTCCTGTACGCAGTCTAGCTAAAATATCATTTTTTTTATCGTAAGGTACGGGACGCATGTTGAGATTTGTCTAATGTTGCGGTTTTTGTGAATGGGTAAAGTAATGTAGCTAATCGAAAAGCAAAAAGGTACAAGTTTGACAAAACATGATACTCAACATTAAATTGACCCCTGATAGATTCTGAAACTCAATAAATTCGAAAAATCCTGGGGAAAGAAGGCTCTGTAAACATTCATCATTTCAACCATCTGAATTTCTACAGATTGCGAATGTCGAGATGAGCGATTAGAATGTCGAATGTGCTCAAGCAAATGTATATGAATCCTAACACAAGCTATATCACTGAATAGCTTAGAACTACTACTTTCCATATCGCAAAAAAAAATCAGTGCTTAAGTATGTGCTCAAGGGGAAGAATGCATGAAAAAGTCGAAAAATTAAAATTTTTAAAAACATTGTAACACTTTTGTGAGTCACTGTAAGCAGTGAATCAGATAGGTTGAGATTTGGCAAGTAAGTACATAGGGTGAGGGTGATGGGATGTGAACGACAGAATAGGGACATGTAGGGTTAACCAATAATGTAACGCCTTGTTGTCCTCGAAATCCATCACCTTGGACGGGAGTTCCATAGGTGTGGTACAGTACTGGCTAAAGGGTCGAAGTCTTCGAGGATTGAAATTTTAGCTTTGTTGAGGCGCTGTTTGACGATAGGGGCATAATCGTTGTGTACCAATAAGCTTACAGTGTTCTTTGCTGGATATTGAATATCCATAACGCGAGAGGGATTAATTTGGACTCCTGCAAGTTTGGATCGCATGGTGCTTAAATTTTGTCGAGCGCGACAGGGAAGATAGATATATTGGTAGCCTGGATTGGTTGATTCAGGTTGGAAAAGACGCACTGCAGCACGACGGGTAGCAGGGGTGATTTTTTTCGCAGCTCTTTTAGTGGTGTCGGCTTTAATGCCGCGGTGAGCGGTAGCTTGGTAGGGTGACAGAATTGTGGGAGGGGTAGAGTCGTGGCCGCTGGTAGTGGTAGATGGTAAGCTTGCATATTTGGATGCCTGTGAGCCTTGATCTGTCCTAACCAGATGGTGTGAATGGGAAGCAGATGGGCCAATGGTAGCGGAGTTAATCGGTATTGTAAAATTAAAATCGCCTGGTGCCCGTGGCAGAGGTTCATCATCAGTCATCTGGTTGTCTTGACTGGATGCGGGGGATTGACGGAGCTGTTGTAACTGTTTCCTAAGTAGGTTGTTTTCGGCCTTTAGGGTAGCATTCTCCGATACCAAAGCTTCAAGTTGATTCAAGCGTGAGCTTTGGTCGGTCAGCATTTTGAACAAGAGGGTGACATAGGAGGGTGCATCAGGGGGGATAATGACAGGCGAAGTACTACCGATGGTGCTGGTAGCACCAAAGATTGCAGGAGTATTTAAGACTTCGGGATGTCGTTCGAACTGCATGTCAGCAGGCCTGGGGGCGGTGGTACAGAGTGGTTAGAGTGTGTAGTTGCAGGGAAGATTTTGGTTTTTTTCGTTTGAGAGCGAGTGAGAGTTTTTCCCATGGTGGAAAAAAGAAGAGTGGAACCGTCAGCAAAAAGAGCTGTGGAGATTTCGGTGGCTGGTCGTTTGCTGCTGCAGTGACGGGGAGGAGCGTCAACGCTGTTAGGGTGCGTGCTTATAGGAAGAGTTGAGGAGCGATTCTGCTGTTCAAGATTTGCAGATGTTAAGATTGTTGCGATCTCGAAATCGTTTGCACTTTTTTCGTCCGAGAGAGGCGATGTTGGTATCAAACTAGTTGCTATAAGTGGCGTAACTTGCTGTTCGGGTGCAGGTGCTGAACTATCGGCTTTTGTTGGTGGTAATATTGGTGATGGTTATTAAATTGTTGCTGGTCACGTGACGAAAAGTACCTGTATCCTCCAAAATAAGTGATGGAAAAGCCGAAGAAAAAGGTTCTTCGGTAGTATAGACAAATGGGTTGGTTTTATTTAACGTGGTATATAACCGGATCCCTATAGGGCAATAAAAGGATACCACTTGGGCAAGCTTATATATCATAAGAAAAAAGTAAAGAAAAGAGAAAAAACTTATAGGATATATAAAAGGTAAAAGGAAACTAAAAATCAACTATAAAATAGAAGTAAAAAAAGGTTAGGAATCGCGTTGAAGTAGTGCATTAGATCAGGCGTCAGTGCTGTCAAAGGGGACAATTGTCCTTGAGGTTGAAAAGTCAGTAAAAGGTTAGGAGTTGGAAACTGGAAAGATTTTTGGAATTTTTCATTTCTGTAATTTTTTTTTGGTGTTTTTGATTTCTTTTTTTTTTTTTTTTTGTTTAGTCTTCTTGTGTAGATTCACGATGTTGTTCAGAATCACAAACGACGAACCACTTCAAAAGTGAAATTTCGCTAGTTGTAAGTGCGGCTCCAGTAAACTCGGTATCAGGATGACAGATTTGATCAATTTCGAGCATTATGGTACAGAGCACCGGCCAATATTCGACAAGGTGTTTTTGTTTTGACGACAAAGGTGTTGTACGCATAACGGGAGAGAGCTTAGGCTTCTTTTGTGGGAGATAGGTGTTCAAAAAGTAGTCAATTGGGTTGGGTTCAGCGCTGATGGGTAGATTGAGTCGTGCATGAACAGAGAGGCAAGAGAGTAAATGGTTTCGGGATGCATGTGGAGCCCCACATTTATTACATCCGATGGGTCGAGCTGGGAGCCATCCCATTTTCCACCGAAGAAGTCGACTGCGATCAAAAATAGACATTGGGAGGAAAAGTATAGGATCAATGCCTAAAGTTGGGCGGCAGGCTGATAGAAGCACTGGGGGTGGTGGTAGGGTGCGAGTAATGATGGAGTTATGTTGATCTTGGCGAAACTGTAAGTAGTGTCGGTCTTGCTTGTTAGCTTTACGACATACATCTAATCTCCATCGATCACTAGGTGGAAGAGAAGTCCAGAGTATGCTATATTTTAAGAGACGTGGCCAACGATGGGAGGGGACTGTACAACCATTGGTGATTTGTTTCAATAAAGTATCGCTGGGCAAGAGGTGTACACGGCATATCATTTTGAAAATGAGGCGTTGTACACGTTGGTTCATAGTGGGTAGATTGGTCAAATGTTTAAAGACTGCGGTTGAGCTTTTGGGATGGCCACCGAAAAGGATTCTTAGGCATTGGTCTTGAGCTTTTTCCAATAATGTTATTTGCTTGTTAAAAAAGGGGCAAAGGGCGAGTCCATATTCCATTACTGGACGGATGAGTAAGGTGTACAGTCGTGTGGCTGTCAGTTTGGAGAAGGAGGGTGAGCGGAGACCGAGAGGTTGTAAACTATTACGCATAGCAGCAAGGGCTTTCTGAATGTTGCGTTGGAGGAGGAGGGTGCTATCAATTTTTCCTTCGCGATTGAAGGGGATACCAAGATACACAAATGAATCAGCGCATGGCATTTCAGTACCATATAACTTCAGTGGAGGAGCGCCTAAAGCAGTTGGGGAATTGATAATGACGCATTTAGCGGGGTTCCAGCGATAGCCAAGCTGTTGCGAGTGTTGTTCGGCCTTTTTGAGCAGTCGTGGCATCAAGTCAGCAGTAGCTATTAAGACGACATCGTCAGCGTAAAGCAAGCAGTTAACCCATACATTACCAAAGGCTCGTTTGATGGGTTGATCATAGGCGCGGTTGGGAGGAGGACGGGTAGTACGTAAAAACGCGGGTAGACTGTTGATGTAAACGGAATACAGAAAGGGAGACAGTATTGATCCTTGCAGTACTCCTGTTACTGGGTGGAAGCTGGGTGAGGATGTATTTTGGACAAGTACTTGAATTTGTACGTCATCGAATAGTCTTTGAAGCAGGGCTAACAGTGGTGAGGAGATGTGCAGTTCTAGCTCTCGCCAGATGATGGCGCGGTCTACTGTATCATAGGCTGATTTGATGTCGAGGAAAGCAAGTACGGGTCGTTCATTGTAGTGATCTTTTGCATGTTGTTCACAGATTTCATTTAAACAAAGGGCCTGATCTAATGCACTACGGTTTACACGAAATCCACCTTGGACTATATCTAGAGGGGAAGCAGTGGTAGTTAGTAAATCTTGAATGCATAATTCAAGTAATTTGCGGAAAACAGAAGTTAAACTAATAGGTCTGAAGTTGCCTGGGTCGAGTGGATCGCCTTTCTTATATACGGGTATGACTTGGGCGGTGATCCAAGCCGTGGGGACGGTGGACCATTTCCAGCATAAACTGAATAGCAAGGTGAGAGTGGGAGTAAGGGCTTTTTCGATAGGTAATAGCATTTCTGTGCGTATGTGGTCTATACCCGGAGCTTTGTTGCGGGATAGTTTTTTCAACAACATAGTAGAGATGAGGTCCTGTGTAAAAGGACAATTATGCTGTGGTGTATCTGTATAAGTCAGCGGATGGGGGCCAAGTGGTGGAGGTGGTATTGGTTGACGATGTGAGGGGAGTTGATCGCCTGCAAACACATTTCGGAGATGCCGGGACATTGTAATGGCAGCAGCTTCAGGGCCGTCGGCATGATTGAACTGGGTAGAGGTTATACGGCTTTTTCGGATACCCTTGATTGTTTTGATTGTCTCTACAAAATCTCCAGTCGACAACCTGATGCAGAACTGTTTCCATGTATACCGTTTCCGCTTTTTACACTCTCTTTTGAAGGTGGTATCCAAAGAGGTGTAGCGGTCGTATAAGGCGAGTTTGGTGGTTGGGTGAGTTGCCGTACGCCATTGGTATCGGGCATGTTCTCTCTGAGAGACTAGTTGTTGTAAATGGGGAGTCCAAAACCATGACGGACGGTCAATAGTATGAGCTCTTCGGCCAACAGAGTCATCCAGACAAGAGTGAATGGTATCAGTGATTTCAATAGCCATGTTGTTAATAGTGGATGTAGGTTGATCGATGGCATCACAATTCAATAGGTGTTGGAGTTGCTGCTGTATCGGTGCTATTCTATCGGAAAAGAGTGAAGTATAAGTACAGTTAGGTTTGGATAGATTACCTAAGTTCCATAGTCTACGAGGATGTTGGTGCTTAGGCGGTGGAGGTAGAGGGTTGTTGAATGTTAAGGAAATGGGATGGTGATCAGAGCCAACACTGAGGTCAGATCTGACTGTGAGTTGAGGTTGTAGGAGATTGTCGGTGGTTATCATCAGGTCAATGATACTTTGAAAAATCCCCCCATCGGCAGTAGTGCGACGACAGCAATAGTAGGTAGGCTGTCCATAAGTGTGTTCGGAATTCCAGCAACGGAGACCAGTTTCTGTTATCCAATGAGCTAATTCGTAGCCACGTTGTGTGGATTTCGAGTCACCTAGGAGTTGAGCATGGCGAGCATTGAAATCGCCACAAAAGATAGTGTTGGTGTGGCTGGGATTGGGATTGATAGGTAAGGAATGGATAAGCTCAATTGCTTCATTGTCAGGCATGGATGGTGGTAGGTATAAGCAATGAATTAAATAGGTGGAGATCTGGCAGGTGAGGACATAGGGTGAGGGTGAGGGGATATGAACAACGGGATAGGGACAGTTGGGGTTAACCAAAAGTGTAATCCCTTGTTGACCACGAAAGCCATCACCTTGTACAGGTATGCCATAGGTGTGATATTGCTTCCAAGGAGTGGGGTACCTATAAGGAGAGAGTAACCAAGTTTCAGTTAGAAAAATCAGAGTTGAGTCATAAAGTGCATCAGTTAGTAGAGATATGGTATGTTTTGCAATGCCATTGGCATTCCAACAAGAGATAGTCAGAGACTGACTACTCATTATTAGGTGGAAGCAGGTTCACCAGCACCTGAAGGAGAAGTGGTATCAGTGGTGGTCGACTGTTGAGTCATATCAACATCATCAATGGCTAGTTCATTGATGGGAGTATCGTCGTCAAGTT